AGATAGATAGATAGATAGATAGATAGATAGATAGATAGATAGATAGATAGATAGATAGATAGATAGATAACAAATGAATATCACAAACTCTTTCATTTATACTCACTGGCAATCATGGGGTATTTGTACTGCTCTCTCGGTTCCCATAATAACTTTTCACCACTTTTTGACTGTTGATCGTTTAGTTTGTTCCCACCTGAGGACTCAAATAAAGGCATGCTGACCAAGAAATAAATGTTGTTAACTGTAAGTATTCTTTACATAACATACGTGGATCTATAAAAGATGATTGTAAAAGGTTGATGCCATTATGTTTTCGGGTTTTATTGTTTTTATTCGTGTAAGTTTAAGTAAGAGATTTGTAGAACTTATAACACAAATATGTGATTCAAGTGCCCGAAGATTAGACGTGTCACTAGACAGTAACATACAATGTAGGGGAGCATACACATATTTATATATACACGAGAAAATATGTTTGTATGTGTGTGTGTGTATGTGTGTGTGTGTGTGTGTGTGTGTGCGCGCGCGCGCGTGTGTGTGTGTGTGTGTGTGTGTGTGTGTGTGTGCCCGCATTTTGTATTTTTATTGTGATTGCAGGAGCCTTTCACCAAGCCATTGATACGTACAAAATACAAACATATTTTTGCATTGTGCATGCCGCATACCAAACTGTAAGCTTACCGGGCCAAGCTCTTCTGTCCCTTTGGAGGATGTCAAGGGCGACCGCCTTGTAATATTCGTCAGCGTAAGTCAGGATCTCACAGCTTGTTCTTGCTGCCAGAAAGATACGCCTCTGTTTAATATTGATTATCTTGTGGAGGAGGAGGAGGAGAAGGAGAAGGGGAATATGAGGGGGAGGAAAAGGAGGAAGACAAGAATATGAGGAGGAGGAGAATATGAGAAAAATAGTTGATGAAAATAAGAGGAAGGGGATAATATGGATATAAAAGGGGCGGAGAAAAGAAGCGAATATGAAGGAGTGGGAGAATAAAGGGAACGGACGAGGAAAGGGGTAAAGGAAGAAGAGCTGAAATTAAGAGGAGGAAGGGGTGGAGGAAGAAGAATTTGAATTTGGGAGAAAGGGAGGAGGACGGGAGTAGACCTGAGGGAAAGTACAAATTTAATTAAATGAAAATGGGGTGGGCGAATAAAGAGAAGACATGAGAGAGGTAAATATGTGGAGGAACACACCCAACTACACACTTGCCGGAATCCATCTCTAGTTGCCGTTGTAAAGTACTTACTAACAGCCTGTGAGTTAGAACTGACATAGTCGGTATATTAGAACTGACAAAGTCGGTATATCAGAACTGACGCTGTTGTTAGATTAGACCTGAAACAAAGTCGGTATATCAGAACTGACGCTGTTGTTAGATTAGACCTGAAACAAAGTCGGTATATCAGAACTGACGTTGTCGTTATATCAGAACTGTAACAAAGTTAATCTATCAAAACTGACACAGTCGGTACATTAGAACTGACACAGTCAGTAAAACATCTGAACTGACCTAATTCTTCACTGCCTGGGGCACATGCTCTGTCTTTATAGATATTCCTGGTAATGAAATGTGGCTCCTTTCTCGACAAATTGCTGACCAGTGGGTGGGCTATGATCTTTGAGTGGAGGTCCGTGGTGCCACACTTAGGAAAGCCTGAAAGACGACAAAAATACTTATTTTCATTCATAATTTGGTATTATGATGTGTAGGATCGTTCACCATGGAGAACAAATTTAACTCAATTCTAGAGTATTTTATAACCATTCATAGCGATTTAAATTTACAAATGTATAAATTCTTAAGCTCAGCACCAAGGAAATCCGGCCCCATCATGCTCGTGGGAGTTATTATTGGTTGCTACTTTCATCTAAATTCTGAATTCTGAAGAGTGTGATTTTCTTCGCAAATTAATACAAAGATATCATCTATTCTTCCAGGGTTGTGTATTGTGTAATAATGATCATAATAGATATACAAAGCACCATGGTGAAATCAGACTTTCGTCAAAATAATGACATCGAAGAAACTGACACATTTTTCTGCCCGTTAGTCAACTTTTATCTATTTTTTTCATAACATGTCCATAAAAAACCCACATAACTGAGTATTTTACTGTAAAACGTCGATCAAAGGCACGGAAAATGTAAATTAAATTTGCAGCTGTTAAGGGCACCTCAGCTTTGGAAGACACCAAACTTTGTCCCCCATTTTCTCCATCTTTCTCTGACATGAGACAACCCCCACTTCTCCATGGCAAATATCTCAACTTCTGTTCAATGTCGATGATTTTTTAAAACTAAAAATCAAAAACCAAAAAAAATATAAAAATTTAATCTGATACCAATAACTTTATTTATCCAAAATTTGACGACCACCTGATTACACCTCGTTGTAGAATGCCGCGTGTAAGTATATACCGAGAGAGAGAGGGGGGGGGAGACAGAGACAGAGACAGAGACAGAGACAGAGACAGAGACAGAGACAGAGACAGAGACAGAGACAGAGACAGAGACAGAGACAGAGATGATGATGGCGATGATGACAATGAGGAGGAGGAGGAGGAGGAGAAGGAGGAGGAGGAGGATATTTAATTAGTTTTATAGTTATCTTCCTAAAGCATGCCCTCTGACGTATTTCTGCGTAACTATAGAACTCATCATTTGACTCAGTTTTTACCAAATGAAGGGCAAGGGCGAGGATTGGGGGCAAGAAGGTTAGAGACCGGTCCCACGGACATTCGACTATAGTGGGAATGAAGATTTACTTTACATTGGGTTACATTGAAATGGCAGCCAAGTTGTTTTGTTTGCTTGCTTGTTTGTTTTCTTTATTGTTGTTGTTTTGTGGTTTGGTTTTGTTGTTTGTTTTTTTTTGTTTTTTTTAATTTATTTATTTATTTATTTATTTTTTATTTATTTTTTTTGGGGGGGGGGCAGAGTTGAAGAGCGCGCAGCAGTGAAAGTGCACCAACTTTCGTTTCCTCAGAAAAACTTATCCTCAAACATCTCTTCAACGGGTGAAACAATATCAGCCTTACTTTGCCCACCAGTTTGTACCAATGTATCTCAAATTCGACATATTTTCTCACGACAGCTGAGGCTGAATTAAAAATGTTGGAGTCAATTAGTATACCCCCGATCAAAACGCGAAGTTGTATTACAATCCAAAATATAATAAAGATAACTAAACAGAACAGCCGTCTCCTCGCCAGCTAGAAATACGCAAAGCACACGGACACAAAGGCAAGATAAAACATAGGCAGATAGGCATGCAGAGACTCAGACACAAAGACACACAAATACCCAAACAGAGCAACCGTCTCCGGTCTCCTCTTCAGCAAGAAACACATAAGGCAAACGGACACGCAGGCACAACTGAGCAAACGTTTCCTTACCAGCTAGAAACATGTTAGACACACGGACACACAAGTAACCAAAGAGAGCAACCGTCTCCTCACCAGCTAGAAACACGTAAGGCACACACAGCAACGTTCCATTAGCTCCCCTCTGACGCCAGCACGGGTTCTTGAACTCGGGCAGATATGGAGGCGTCACCTGGCGGTTGACGTTCAAGCCTCAGTAAACGAGATGGTATTACAGTCAAAATAGTTCAAAACAGTCACCCGTTGTCGGAGAATAAAATCAGTTGTCCTTGACTGCAGGTGGTCGTCTCATACAGTGTCATTGTATTTCTAAAAATAGGTGGGAAATGGGAAGTGGTCGTTTGTACATTTACTGTCTTGGACAAGTGACCATTAGAGCAGGTTCGACTGGATATCATGTTTAAATCTAACCGTATATCCGTCTAATTATTAGCTCAACCAATTTTCTCGTCTCATACAGTATTATGTAATTCACAATCCTAGCTAAAATTGCTGACACTGTAATGAAATACAATAAAACACCCCACACGCAAAAAGAACTAAAGAATTCTGGTAAATAATAATAAATAGTTCGTCTAATTACGTTTTTCCCACTTTTCTAAAAATTGTGTTTACGCACATACACAGTTAGTGCTGGACATCGACCATATCTAAATATCAACTTCGGGCTAAGGTTTATTGCTAAAACAGTAAAGTAATGTATTCAAATCATGCATTGGTAAATATTAACCCAAGTGAAATCCCCTGTCGGAGCCGCCAGTCTGTCCTCATCATAGACTTGTATTATCTAGACGGTACACTCTGACGTATTTCTAAAGATATTTATATAGGTACAGGTTGTTAAAAGAAAATAGAGGACCCAGTTAAAAAGCAATAACTCAATAATTTTTGCATCAAAATCAACAAAATTTTGCATAAATAAAATTTACAGAAGAAGACGTCATTTTTTATACGTTGTCGTTGTTGTTGTGGTTGTTGTTGTTGTTGTTGTTGTTGTTGCTGTTGTTGTTCTCGATCCTGCAATAACTTGGTTCACGCTTTTCTGTTCAATGCCACGTAATGATAAGTGCAGGTTTGATACAGTTGCTGTAATGTTCCTCAGATTGTCTTGCCAATGTTCGGTCTTGGAAGGATAAGCGTAGCTCTGCGGCTATTTAGGGTTGTGAAGTGGAACAGATGATGACCAATGATCCATATGCGTAGTCACACAAAGCACAAATTCAGGGGACTTCTGGTTTTATTCTGTTTTAGCGGAAGTGAATCAGTACATCATTGCCGTCAAGCACATACCTTTTAAGCGAAACAATTTTCAAACTTTACTATTTTGGCTTGTATTATAAGACACCAACTGGGCCCTCTCCTGAAACATCCCAATATCCCCATGAGCACCAAGGCGAAGCTCATCAACGCCATTTTCCTTCCAACGCTCACATATCAGTGCCAGACATGGACTCTAACAAAAGCCCTAGAGAGGAAACTGGTCACATGCGAGATGAAATGCTTAAGAAGAGCGGTCAACAAAACAAGAAGAGACAAAATTTAAAATGATGTCATAAAGGACACCGTGGGAGGAACACCAGTCCTACCACACATTGAAAAACAAAAGGTCAAGTGGTTCGGACACCTCAGGCGGATGCCCTCAAACCATTCAGCTCTGAGAGCATACAACACTAGATATTCTGGATGGAGAGCCAGAGGAAGACCAAGGCGACGATGGAGTGAATCTGTGACAGACACCCTTAAAGATCATGGGATGTCCCTCCTACAGGCCACACGACTTGCTGCAGACAGACACCTGTGTCTCCCCGCGACACCCCAGGGTACAAACGGAAGAAAAAAGTAAAAAAGTAAAAGTAAGTAAAGTTATAAGACACTGTATACCATACAGTATGTCCAAGTCAAATAATATATGCTACAGGTGAAAAACAAGTGCATTAAAACACAAATGAAAGCATGCGAGGCCAAGTCGTAAAACCCCCACTTGTTTTGGACATTCGTTATCTTAGGTATACGTCTGATGGAAATTTGTCCTTTAAGTTGACATTTGGTGAGGATTGGAAAGATATTCTACAAGGAAGAGGACAAACATAACCGTAAGTAGTCACTGAAAAAGAAGGACTTTTTACACAGAGGCCTTGAAGATCACGGAGGGGTAATTTAAACACATCCAGAAACTAAAAGGCGTTATCCCCAAAGACCACCGTGCATTCTACGATAATACCAGGCATTAAATATACGAGTTGTAAAAGTTCTGTCACACCCATTTTTTTTCAAAGTGCAATTACTCATTTGTTATCAAACATAGCCGAGCGAAATTTGTCACACATTATCTCTATTCATTTTCTGCCTACATGACTTGAAAAGAATTGGCTAATATATTTCCTTGTTCAAAGAAGACAAGTTTATTCGCACTGACCCTAAATAGAATCCAAATAAAAGTTTGCTCAGTATTTCGAGCGGCCTCTTCCAGTTTAACTTACTACTACAAAACGCCTGTTCATTGATTGAATTAATGTCCTTAGGGGTTGTCTGAGGAATTCCCTGATATTCCTTGTGAAACCCAGCCTTCAGTTCCTAACCAGTTTTCACTAGGTACGACTTGTTTAATATCCTCTGGTCAAGCAAATCTTACGGGTGTTCTGTTGGGTTAAGGCCTATTGATCTTGTAGGCCAGTCCAGAACATTGATTTGCTGAGTTTAGAAGGATTTTTGACTGAACATGGCCGCAAAGGGGCAGTTGTTGTCATGTTGGCACATTTCATCATCCGTACAATACAGGGAAGGGCGCGGAAACGAAGATTTTCGTCACAATAACGTCAGCCTGTGAGGTTGTTTTGAATAGTGACCAAATGTGTATGATGAAGAGAAGAGAGTCCACCCAACACCATCACACTTCCGCCACCGAATCGGTCCCCTTTTTCTCTTCTTTAAATGCGATGAATTAAAACCTTCACCATTTCTGAGTAGAAGACTATACCAACGTCTTTGGTTCTCTTGCCAATGTTTTTGCGATTTCCTCGATGTAGCAGGGTTAGAATGGT